AAATACCAGTAATAACTCTCAAGAAGTGTTTCTACTTTCCACCAGGATCAAGCTACTAAAAAAGAGACAGTTACTGTAATTCAAAATTGTGTGGTTTTTATGGTGGACATAAAGAATTTGCACCAACCCTGACATTTTGCCTCAAGTTATCTCCTAGAAGAAGATGCTGACACATAGGAATGATGAACCAGGGACTCACAATTCATCTTTTCCCACTGTGTCCTTTCCTCTTTCATCTGTGCTGAGTAAATGGAGTGAATTCACACTCCTTCCATTAGAATTCATCAGGCAATAAGTGTAGCTAACAAATGATTCAGTCTTCTTGAGCCTTCTACTTAATGAGGTGGTTTCTGCCTGAAGAATGGATTGTATTTAGACCAAGTTCTCAGTCTGAATTGAGATTTCTCTGAAGTGACATCTCTTTTCTCATCAACATAGACAGTCAGGTAAAAACAGAACTCCCTTACTTCTTTTTGCTAATGCGTGTTAACAGGAAAAGAGTGAATGAACCTAACTTGTATCTTACTGCTCTGAACACCTGTGGGAGGGGCAATTCTCTTTATCTTCTATTTAGTGACCACAGTGGACAAACAGAGCTATAAGCAGGCTCTCTGTAGCTGTACTGTGTGGTTGGATCTGAAGCACTACCACCATTATCACTTCAGAGTGATCCCAGCATGATGGCCAGGAGGCTGACATAATAAAGATGACAATAGCCATCACTGTGTGCCCAAAACCATGGCATCACCTCCTTTAGTTCTCCTCCAAGCACAGGGGATGGGGTCATTACTAGTCCCATCAATGCCCAGAAGGTTAAGTGATTCACTCATGTTCATTCAAAATGGAAAGAGGGGGAGATGGATTCCATTGGAAACTCACAACTCCAAACATGATTGAGATGAGTGGTTCCCAGGTCAGTGTAATTCTGAAAATGAAAGTCGCTCAGTCTTGTCTGACTCTTTGCAACCCCATAGACTATCCGTGGAATTCTCCAGGCCAGAATACTGGAGTGGGTAGCCTTTCCCTTCTCCAAGGGATCTTCCCAACCCAGGGATCAAACCGAAGTCTCCCTCATTGCAGGCGGATTCTTTACTAGCTGAGCCACAAGGGAAACCCAAGCATACTGGAGTGGGTAGCCTATCCCTTCTCCAGTGGATCTTTCTGACCCAGGAATCGAACCAGGGTCTCCTGCATTGCAGGCGGATTCTTTACCAACTGAGACATCAAGAAGCTAATTCTGAAGGTCATGCTATAACTTCCGCATAGGCCACCATCACTTTCTTAAGATAATGACCTGTGGCTGCTGCTGTGAAGATTTTCCTCCCACCAGTTATCACCCTAAATTTCCTTCTCTTTCTAAAACCTTTTTGTCTTCAAGTTAGTTTCAGGCTTCTCTAACGTCTCTCTTCGATGCTTTCAGCTTCAGAGCCAGTGCTGTGCAAGAATATCACCTTTCCTCTAAAATAGAACATTGTACAAGGATTTTCATTCATGGTTTTCGTTCATCCTAAAAATAGATCGCAGTTCTGAAAAATTAGCATACTCATTTTAATTGTCCCGATGAAAGGGCCTCCAACATCCCCTCTGTTTTATTTCTTTCTTAAAACCCTATGGTGTCTATCTTGCAATCTAAGTGTTCAGACCAAAGTTTCAAAAGACAGATCCAGAGATGCTGTTGTTTCTCTGGGTCACTTTCTTCTGATAAACTCTGGACATTGAAACATTTCTCCTCTGTTGTCATCATGATGGGGAAATGGGTTTATTTAATGGCCTTTTATGGAAAAGCAGTGTAGGACTTTTTTCTTTCTTTTCTATATTAGGAGTCCCCCTCCCACACTGTGCAGCATCAGAGATGCAATAACCAATCTCAGGCAATCCGAAGGAAAACCAAGACAGGGAATGAATTCCTTAGAAGAACAAATAAGGGAAGGCAAAGTCTTTATTCCTTCTTTGGTCCAACTAAGCTCCTAAAAGGACTGGAGAAGAACACTGAGAATTATAGGATTTAGGATTGGAACCTTTGAGGCCATCTGGTGATTTCTTCCGTGGTATTAAATGTACCATCTTCTCATTTCTAGCAAATGGTCTGACTGGGTCCTCTCTGCTAGAAGATCCTCCGTGATGGAGAGAGGCTGTTGCATGGGGGCCTCCTGTTCCAATAGTGATGTCATTATTATTACTAGAGGTTGCATAGAAGAGAGATTAAAAGCAAGATTCTGCAGAAAGACTGCCTGTACTCAAACACCAGTTTTGCCCCCGCTTCATCCATCGGTCCTGTAGGTTCATTCTCTGACTGTCTCCATTCTGTGCTGTTCCCTGGGAGGTTGAATTATAAGAATTGAACTACTACTACCCTCATCAATAGGGAGTCCCCGCAGGGGAGAGGAGAACAGGAGGGAAGTGGGGGTTAAGTTATTTATTCCCAGACCCCTTTCCAGCAGGTTACCATGGCAACAAAGTCTCAGTTTGCATCAGGTGGAACTGGTGTGCCCTTTGGGTTCAGGCTTAGGGTGAGTAATGATGCCCCACTGTTACAGTCTATGGGCTCTGCCTTATGCCTTAGAGTTTCCCCACATCCTTCCCTGACCCTTCTAAATTGTCTCTTTATTAAACTTTGCACAACTTCCTTAATTTGAATACGCCAACTTTTTCTAGCTGAGATCTTGACTGACACAACCACTCACTATCTGTGTAATGTTGGTCAAATTCTATAACCGCTCTTGAACTCAGTTTTCTCTTCTGTAAAATGGGGGTAATAATAATAATATGTGCTGTAGAAGGACATCTTAAGAATCAAATGAGATGATATATAAAGATACTTGGAACACACAGTAAGGACTCAGTAAATGCTAGAGTAAAACTATTAATGCAACTACCATGAAGTCTCAACCTGAACACAACCTTAATTCAACTATGGTAAGTTGCTTCTCATAGCTTGACTTAGGTTTTAAGTCAACAAACAATAAAGCAAAAAAGAAAACGAAAAATTCCTCAGAGTCAAAATTAGCCTTGAACATCCCTTAAGATGATGCAGTCAATTTTTTGGTATTCAGTCCTGCAGAGTTTTTATTCATGCCAAGTTTGATAACCTGTGGGTGAGACTTAAGAAAGGTCAATCTACATGCAAATGTCAGAGCATCCCACCCTTTCTGCTTCTGTCATAACCATGCAATCCCTAGAGGAGACTGAGAGATGCTAGAAAATTCTAAAGTGTTCCTGCTGGCTTATAGGGTTGACCTCGTTCTGTTCTCACATCAGAGCTTTATCGACTTAATGTTGGCTGGGAGATTTGTAGTTTGCTGTGAAGATAGAAAGGAGTTAATGGGGTCACACTTTAGATGGTTTTAGGGGAGGCTAGATTTTAAAGTGGGCTCAGTGGGAAATCAAATGGGGTGCATGCTGCTGCTCCCATATGTCTGAGATGACCCTTTGCTGATTATTCAGGGTGTGCCAGACTCAGAGCTAAGCGTCTCCTCCATGTCAGTTATCCAGTTTAACCTCATGGCAACTATAAGGTGGAACTGTTATGTTCTCTGTTTTCAGATGAGAGAGCTGAACACTTCAAGTGCCCAGTCTAAGACTATGCAGTCTTATTGACGCCAGGGGCAGTATTTAATGTGTGCCTCACTTAGCTCTGAGTTTAGATCCAGGACTGAGGCCTCAGAGCCTGGCTTACCCTCCAGTGGTCCATGTATATGCAAACTGAGAATTAAACTCCACGTTTGATAGCTTTTCATGATAGTTGTCCAAAACAGCACACATGCATTTGCATAAACAGATTTTTACATGCCTTGTGTATGATGAGAAGGGAGTCAGCCTGGTATCTTTCTTCCTCCCCCAACACCCCCAAAAGACTAAACACAACAACTTGCTTCAAGTGCTCCTCAGTGCCATGTTTCTGGAACCCTTTCCATCCTGTTGAACCATCTCTAGTCCAGTGGTTCTTGATGCTGGCTGGAGTAGGATAAATCACCTGAGGAAGTTAAAAACAAAAACAAAAAAACCAAACTGAGTCAGCACCCTGCTCCAAATATCTGGCAGGTGGCCTGAGCATTATTGTTTGTCAAAAGCTCTCTCAGTACATTTTAATCAGCAGCCAATATGGGAAAGCACTGCTCCAATTTGCTGCTAAAAAATTGAAGAATTAGTGGGGATGTTGGCAGGGCCCTCTGGAGCGAGGAAAAAGAATCGGTTCCTTCTAGCTAATGATTATTATCCAGAATTATCTGCGGCATGTTCCACACGATTTAATAGGCCTCATCTCCAAGGGCAGCTGGATGCAAATGTCTCTCATTGTAGCCTGAGATGTGAAGGTTCCCGAACAAAGCCATTTGCGGGGAAGGTGCAACGTGGATCCACTTCTCCCGAGGAATCTGGCCATGCTTGTTGACTCACCAGAATTTTCTCTGATCCTGAACACTGAAAATATAATTAAGGTTGCTTTTGATGGGATGGTTTAAAACAGAAAATCAACGCCATCCCCCTTTCTCTGTCCTTTTACTGCCTCTGTGCTTCTGCGCCACCAGGAGTATTACCCTTGGCAGTGAGGGCTGAGGAACGCTGTGGCTCGGTCCTCCTCACCTGTGGGCAGGTGCTGAGGGGTTCAGACAGAGGGGTGTCTCCGTGCTCCTTGTGGAGGTGGTGTGGTAGTGGGGCTGGGGTCGCGAACATCTAGAGATGCCCGCAGCTTTGCTCTCCAGCTGCCGCCGCAGCAGAAAGGGCACTAAAATCTCTAAGTTTAAAGAAAATGAGACTACATATCCTGCACCTGATAACTTCACACACACAGTCACAGGTCCACTCTTGACGGGACTCGAAAGGCAGAACCAAATACCACACGGAGGCTCAGGAAGGTAGTTTTTCATCTATAAATGACGCTAAATCACAACTAAATTTTTAAAAAAGAAAATCAGAGGTGCTATGAAGGGTCTTATGATAAGTTAAAGGTCTGGTTAATCTAACCGGGCTCACAGGAAAGAGAGTGAGACGGAAGGGACGAGATGGGGGAAGGTTTGGATGAAGCAAGATGTTCAGATTCAGATTTGGAGAAGGGAGGTGAAAGGAGGAGGTGAACAGAAAAGTTTAAAAAACTTCCATTTATTTCTTTCCTCTTTTTCTTGTTATTTTTCTCATCTGCCTATTCACTCTTGGATATCTTGCTCAGAAAAATATCCTCCAAGGACGCTTAGATTAAACTGAACACTTTTTGAAGGTTTACTGGGTGCCAGACTCTAGTTTAAGAACTCTGCGTGTCTTTTACATTTCATTAGATCCCTTAGCTCTGTGCGGTTGGGAATGGTACTCCCGTTTTGTAGAAGGAATGAGGAAGAGTTGAGGAATTTCCTCCCAGATTATCCCACTGGAAGGTGAAGAACTCAAGCTCTCAGATATCAGCGTCAGGCGTTTAACCACGAAGCTCCCCTGGCACGGTGTCGGGGAGGAACTCCCGAGTTTCCACGTGGCCAGCTGCATTGGGTCTTCGGAAAGGTGTCAGCACAACCACACCCGGCTGGAGAGCGCCTCTCCCGGGGAATCAGGCCAGGCACGCGGCGACGGAGGGCACTGCCCGCGTCCCAGACCCCGCCGGGAGAAACCTGGCAAGTTCCAAGGGGCAGGTTTGCACCGCGGACATCTCTCGGGCGCGTTGCCACTCTGCAAATCACTCTCTCAAGAGAGCCTGTTTAATTCTCACCGCGGTCCTGCAAAGGGGGTTATTTTGGCTCCATTTCTTAGAAGAGGAAAGTGAGGCGTGCCCTCCCCGCTACGTCGGCAGGTGGTGGAGCAGTAGGTGTCTGCCTTGTCCCAGAGATAATAAAATCTGTATGGATTTTGCCATTATTATGCAAAGCCGGCGGGGAGGCTCGGACCCTCCCTTGACCTAGCCCATCTGTCTCCGCGCGCCGCCCCCGGGGCACAGAAGCCGAGTGGGTGGAAACCCGTCCCCGCCACTTGCCTCACCATCTCTCCGCTTCTTCACCGCCGGCGTCCCCAAGGCCGACCTCCCTCGGCTTAAAAAAAAAAAAACAAAAAAACCCTCCCGCGTTCCCCGTACCCTCCCGCCGCCCCAGGGAGCTGCATTAATATTAATCCCGATGCATAATTGAAGACCGGAGATTTATTTGGGCCGAGGCGGGGGAGGGTGCGCAGCTGGGCTGTATTGCGGCCGCGGCCACTCTTGTGTTTCGGCCGCCTGGGTTTCGCGAGGCCTGGTACCCAAGACGTGGGAGGATGGGGTGGGTGTGCCGCCGGTGAGGATGAGCTTGGGAATAAAGTGAGCCCGAGCGGGTGTGCCAAGGAGTGAGGGGGGGTGCCGGGGGCTGCTCCAGGGAGGCAAGGACGGAGGGGCATCCCAGGTCTCCGCGACGTGGCCTGCGCTGTGCCCAGCGAGGGGTGACCCGGGGCCACGCGGGCTTGAGGGGAAACAATAGCGACTCCTTAGATCCTGGGCTCCTGCCACGGGCAGCCCGGGCTTTCCCGGGAGACCAGCCGGGCTTCTTTTCTTATTTGGCTAATTTATGGCGAGAGGCTGGGGGCGGAGGGATGGCAGAGGAGGGACCGCGTCTGGAGACAGGGGGCGAGGGGGCGGCAGTTAAAGGAGTCTCCCGAGGCGGCGGCCCTGGTGATGTCAGCTCTCGACGAAAATAGAGAGGGATCGCCTGCAAATCCCTAGCTCCGGCGGGGCTAAACCTTGCAATCCCTCCCCGGCCGGCGCGGAGCCAAGGCGCAGGGGCCTCCACCGCCTCCCCTGGCGCGCACACCAACACCGCACACGCGCGCACGCACGCACCCACTCCCTTGCACACCCACGGCACACACTCGCCGCCCTCCCCCCTGCCACTGTCCTCCGAGCCCGCGCTCCGCCACGCGGCGAGCCCCGCAGCAAACACAGGTGGCCGCGGCTGCACGCCGTCCAGCGCCCCCTCCTGCAGCACGGGGGTGGCGCTCTCCCGGGGAAGCCACCCTCCAAGCACCCCCACTCCCCCGCCCTCCATCCAGAGCACCCAGCCGAGCGACACCGAGGCCGGCGGAGGGAGCGCGGGACGCGCGCGGTGGAGAGCGAGGACGCGGCTTAGCGCCGGCTGGAGCCTCCTGCGCCCGTTGAGGCGCTAAAGGGCTTACCCAGGAGGGGGGTGGAAGGGCGGGGAGAGGCTCCCCCCTTAAATACCGCGTGCCGCTGCACTCGTGCGCTCAACCCGGCATCCGCTCACTCCTCGCCCGCCGCTGCCGGATTGTGCCGAAGAGGAGGGGGTGTTACCCCAGGCCATGGCATCCACGGAAGGGTGAGGGGGGCTTTGCTCGCTACCGGCAGGCCAGGGGAAGGGGGGCGCGCGCGCGGAGTGGTGGTTCCCTATCCCGGATGAGAACAGAGAGACGCCGGCGCCGGGCCTCGGAGACCGTGACGGAGCGATGGCTGGGCTGGGGGTGGGATGGTGGAGAGGATATTGATTTTCTTTCCCGAAGCTTGCTGCTTAACCCTTTGAAGATGCGAGAGACAGAGGATTGTTTCATTTTAATTAAAAAAAGGTTTCGGTGGAGGCGTGCGAAAGAGTGACGAAGAATCGTCTTGAGGTTACTTTTGAGATTTGCAAACAATAAGGGATTGGGCACAGGAAGAGCGGCAGATGCTGCCGAGGGAAGCAGCGCCTAGAGCTCGGCACCGGCTGGAAGGTGGGGACCGGCCGGGAATGAATGAACTGGGACCCGGGCCGGGGCGGGGCGAAGCCCAGCGCGCGCAGCCTTGAATGTCAGATTTGCAGAGTCGCAGAGCGGATACCCGGCCTGCTCTGAGCTCTGGTTATCCCTGGATGGCGGAATCTCCCTAGCCAGTTTGAAGGAAGCGTGGAAAAGATTTGTGTGCTTCCCGAGAAGAGGCGGGAAAATAAGTGGTTTCGGGCAAGGACAGGAGGGACAGGAGACCCCAAATTCCAGCGAGGGGAGCGTTGATTTCCCCTGATTCTGCCCTCTGTCTTGGAGTTGTCTCCTACCTCCTGAGGCAGCAGTTGGATGGAGAATGGTCCCGGTGATAATAAGGGCAGGGTCTTTAGCAGGAAGGAGATTTAGCAAGAAACCCCTGAGTACTCCTATGTCAAAGAAAATGAAAGTTGCTCAGCCATTTCTGACTCTTTGTGACCCCATGGACTAAACAGTCCATGGAATTATCCAGGCCAGAATACTGGAGTGGGTAGCCTTTCCCTTCTCCAGGGGATCTTCCCAACCCAGGGATCAAAGGCAGGTCTCCCACATTGCAGGCGGATCCTTATCAGCTGAGCCACAAGAGAAGCCCAAGGAAGGGTCCAAAACCAGGTCCCTGGATCAGTATTTCCCAGGGAAGTCTCTTGGCTTGATAGAGTCTTGAGTAGGAATGAAAGGGCTGGTTGGGGAGCTCGGCCCTTTGATTCATTCACAAAAGTGCACTAGCCTCTTGCAAGGCATCCCTGGATCCTTATTAAGTGGCAGGCAAGTACCAGGGGCTCCTCTGAGCACAGGTGAAGCATCCCTGGTGCTGGAGCTTTCCAGGGCTTCTAACAAATTTTACCAACTCTGCAGGCTTGTTTTGGGAAATGGATCTCTAAGCAGGCATATAGAGCAGCCCCAAAGTTTGATCTCTAAACTTCAATCTCCAAGGAAGGACAGATATTTCTTAAACTGTCTGCTCTGAGTTCAGGAGAAGGAACCCATCTTTTTTCTGGCCTGGGAGTGCTTCTGGCCCCTGGAGTCCTTCCAAAGGGGGTGGGTGGGGGCAGCTGGTATCTTGTGGTAGCATGAGATTTCTCCTCTCTTTTTGTCCTAGCAGTTCAGCTGTGTGGACCTTTTTGACTGTTTCTTCTCCAAACCGATGCTCTGGAAAGAGGTTTGTGTACAAGGAGGGCAGTACATTGTTCTCACACAGATCTCCAGAATTCAATTTTAATATGCCTCATCCTCAGTGTCTTTTTGCCTGTTTAATTAGTCATTCATATTAGAAAAGATATGAAGGCACTATTGACTGCTTTCAGGTCCCTTCTAGATTTGCCCCTGTTTGTAAGGACTAGGTTGGACAACATCTGTGAAAGAGATTGATGATGGCAGTGTTTCAAATCCTGCATCCTTATTTCAATGGCCAGATAGAAAAGGGAGACGTTAAGACAACAAGAATCCCCCAATTAAGTGGTGTTTATCTCACCTTTGTCCTAAATGAGAGCTGCCAAATGATTTGACTCTATATTTGATTTAAGTATAGAGCAGAAGGGATTCACATTCTGTTAGTAAGGTATTATGCACCATGCCATTATTAAGAAAAGATTGGTCAAAGGCATTTGTATTTAGGGAGGAACTGAGAAAATTTGAAAGACTGGGAAACAAATAGAGAAAGAACTCTGACTCATTATCATTTCAGAGCAGTACTGATGAGCAGGTGACACTCTCAGAAGCCCTGGTCTTTCCTTTTTTCTTCTCTTCCATTCTTCCATCTTTTCACCAGGTGCATTGATTCAGCACTTGTAGGGTAGACCTCACGTGGTGGGCACTCTGGGTGTGTGGGGGCTCCAAAGGCATAAGACTTTGATTAGTAGATTGTTCATATGGTTCAGTGAGATTCTCTTGCTTCTTCTGATACCTTTAGTCAATGTACCTTGTAAAGGGAAGTTCACGGAGAATCTGCAGACTGGTTGCCTTTGTTAGCCCATGTCAAGCTGTTTCCCTGAAACATACATTGCTGAGAAGGAAACAAAAAATAGCAACAGTCTTATGCTTTCAATATATGTATTTTCAGTTCGATTGATCCCAAATGTTTGGGGAATGGAACTGTATGGCAAACTGACCATTCTGGTCACCATTTATTTGGTGATGTAGTTACAGTCAACAACATAGGCAGATGACCAGTTTTGAAAGAATTATTAGAAGCCATAGTGACATCTTATGTTTGTTTAGCACTTCACTTTCAAAGCTCATTTGTGTCATCATCACATTTGATTCTTCCAGTAACTGTGAAGTAGGCAGTCCAATGAGGATGAACTTTAAGGATAAAATGATATAGAATGTATCGTCATCTTTCCCGGAAGATTCCAGGACTTGACCCAACTTTGGAGT